CTTGTAAGTAATGTGGGCGGCCGGAGTTCATAGGGAAGACAGGATGGGTGGTGCACTGAAAGTTCTGACTGAAACGACAAGCGTCCCGGTTGGCTAGAGTGCTGGGACTGGGACATGGACAGCTTTGAGATGGGGGAACATAATCTGAGTATGCTGTGGATACATTCATGAACTGTACTAATTCGACGAACATTTGTAGTTAATGGAAGAGATATACTTAAACCAGAATTCTTTATTTCATGTTGATCGAGCAATGGGTTGACTGATGAATGAACAAAATTAACTGTATCCAACCAAGCACCGAAACAGCAGAGCTCAATAATCCAAAATATCAATACCTTTCAAATGATCAATTTCCTACTCTAGTTGGCTATTCCCACATATATATATCCGTCGAGACTTCCCGGGCCCTGGTGCAGAATAAAGGCAAGGATAGGTGAATCCCTCAGTTCCTGGCAGGCTCCCAGGGACATCATATTTGTCTACCGGCTCCTTGAAGGGTAAACATGAAGTTGTTCGCTATCCAGCTTCGGTAGAAAATTATCAATATGAAGAGACAACTCACTCAACATTGTATTGATGCCCTATTGTACCGCCTGATAGGACGTGGCGCAGCCCTGCAAAAGAAATTTCCTTCATTTGTGATGGCGGGGTAGGAGCCGCTAAAACATGTGAATCCTTGCAAGTAAAAACGAATCAGCAACAATTCCCAGAATACTGGGGCTCGTTGAATCTGCGTCATCCCAGGCGCATCTTCATCCTGCGCTGGAAGTACAGGCCTCGCCTGTTGAGCCATCGAGGTAGACTTAGACACTTACTGTCAACCTCTTGGTATTACCCACTACATACCTTGGTAGCACATACACATCCGCTGCAAAGAACCGTCTTGGTCCATCTTGAGAAATTTGGTTTCTAGCAGAGGCCAAGGACCAACCCCGCTGTCACCCAACAATTGAAAAAAAAAAGCACTGTGAACATGGTTAGCATACATTCCCATCGCCGTGCCTCTGGGGCAAGTATGTGCTTCTTCTTTCTCTGCTTGTCAAATGTAGACTCTGCAAAGCTATGACAGAGAGCTCTCGGAGGCGAATAAGGCTGACTGTAGGGTTGTAGGCAATAGGTCCTCAGTCGACGAGACCCGATCCAACGGCGAGGAGGAAGAAACTGTTGTTGAACCGGATCAAGGAAATGGTCAGTTAGGAAAACAACATACATAGGATGATGGCTGATAGAGATACAGTGCTCTCACACATCATTTCACAGCTACGGCCTGGCGCGGACTTGAGCCGGGTTGTCCTGCCCACCTTCATCCTGGAGCCTAGAAGCATGCTGGAGAGGATCACAAAGTGCGTCGCCAGAGTAGAGGCCTTGTTTTGGGGACGTGCTAATTTATTGCAGCTTCATGGCACATCCGGAGACGCTGCTCCCTATGCCTGAGATCGATGATCCGGTACTCAGATTTGTGTCTGTGGTTAAATTCTACCTTAGCGGATGGCATATCAAGCCGCCGTACGTACAACAATATCCAGAACGACCGAAGAAGACGCTAATATGTGCTATAGTGGCGTTAAGAAGCCCCTCAACCCAATCCTTGGCGAGACTTACACCTGCTACTGGGGATTCCCAGATGGCACAAAAGGATACTACATATCCGAGCAGACCTCTCACCACCCCCCAAAATCTAGCTACTTCTACATGGCACCTGACCATCATATTCGAATTGACGGTTGTCTCAAGCCTCGAAGCAAGTTCTTAGGGAATTCAGCTGCTAGTATGATGGAAGGGATTGCGGTTCTACGACTCTTGAATAAAGGAGAGGATGGCAAAGGCGAGCGGTACTTTTTGACGCAGCCAAATATGTATGCTCGAGGTATCTTATTTGGGAAAATGAAGTACGAGCTTGGAGATCACAGTTTTGTGCGGTGTCCAGAACTGGGATTGAGTGCGGATATTGAGTTCAAGACGAAGGGGTATTTTGGAGGAACATATAACGCGATTGGAGGCCAGATCAAAAACGAGCATACAGGAGAAGTCCTCTATGAACTTTCTGGCATGTGGAGTGGAGAAATGATAATCAAGGAATTAAAGGTATGCATGCCTCGTTCCATTCAAAAACGAACAATCTAATTTGGCTATAGACTGGAAAGAGAGATGTTCTCTTCAATGCTACAAAATCCAAGCCTACGCCTCCAAAATCCCGGCCGATAGGAGAACAAGAACCTCGGGAATCGCAAAGGCTGTGGTACAAGACGGCCCAAGCTGTCAAGGCATCGAATCACGTTCTAGCTACAGACGAGAAGACCGCGATTGAGGATGAGCAGAGAAACGAGGCAGCCAAGAGGTTGGAAGATGGAGTCGACTGGCACCCAAGGCTGTTCAGAGCAGTTCAGGGAGGTCCTGGAGGCTCAGAGGAAGGGGAGGAGGACCTGGACTGGATCTTGAATGCTAACATGTGCGTGACCTGCTCTTGATTTCAAGAAAATGCTAACCATCTATACTAGCGATGGAACTACGCCTGAGGAAATCACGAAGCAAATACTGGCTGTGACTCCAATCCTGCCAGGCCAAAAGGTTAACAAGACTAATGAGATCCCGCCACCTTATACTCACATTGAGCCCGCTCCGGCCGCCGCTCTGCCCAGTGCATCATCGACCAACCCCCCTCCACAAACTCCAGAGGATGACCTCATCGACTTCGGACAAAATGATGCAACTCCAACGGCCTCTCATCCACCACCACCATCTCACTTTCCTTCAGATCTCAAACTCGCACAAACGGAAAACAATGGCCAGCAGCAAAAAGACCTCGAGAAGAATCTGCGAGAAACCAGCATCTCTCCCCCTCCTCGCAATCCAGGACTCGCAGATTTCCATGAGGATCTCAGGAAAGATATGCCGCCAATAGGACAGCCCGTACCGCTTATTCGAGAAGATACTGATACGAATAGCCTTGACGAATTTCTAGATGCCGAGGGCTGATATCTTACCAGGATTTGTGGATCGATGGATCAAGAGTGAAGGGATGTGTAATGGGGAGGGAAAGATCGGAAAGGAATATAGACTTGGTGAGCAATTGTTCGGCGTTGACGACCGTGATGGAAACGGTGCATTAATGAAAAGACTATGGCAGCAGAGGCTTTTGAGAATAGTGGATATAACGAGCCCTTCTATGCGCAATAAATAGAAAGCGTTGATGGATGCAGACGTGCTGCATTTACAGCTTAGACTATGATACATGATTTTGAAGTTCGAAAATATAGTGGTACAACTCCAATTCCGCTAATTTTTCGAGTTCGCGAAATTCATGACCCTGAATTACCTCTTTTTTTGCTTCTCATGCATCTACCTCCAATTCACATGCAATCTGCTCTTGAAATTGCTCCCTTCCCGGACCGGAAACGCATCTGCTTCTTCTCTCCCACCAAGACCCCCATATTTAGCTAATACCGCTTCCTCGTCGGCTCTGGACTAGGACTTCTGCTCATACTCCTCTCATCACGCCCCCGTTCCCTCAACCACTTTTTCGTACTCAACTCAAGTTCCCTCTCCAACTCTTCGCTCGGATTCTTGCGATGTATAAAATTGCAGAACCCGCCTCTCACGCAGCCTTCGCCTGAATTAAGCCTGCAACAAGCTTCGCGGAAATCGGTGACGGGCGAGAGCTCGCAGTAGATGGGGCGCGCGGCGTACCAGCGTGAATTCAAGGCGTCGCAGGCCTGTTGCGCTGAGTCTTCATATTTGAAACGCGCGTAGACATTGCCTATCAGATCTATTTTGTCTTCTGTTAGTTCCTGTTTTTTTTTTTTTCCTTGAAAAACTGGAGGGGAGGGAAAGGGAGGACTTACGATCATTATTGTTATCGCAAACAACCACCTCCTCGATCTCGCCAAACTTGCACATCTCGCACCAAAAATCTTCGTAGAAAGCGTCGAAGTGGTTCTGCAGCTGGCTCGGGTTCATCTTAATCTTCGGGTCGTAGGCGGGGTTCTGGTAGAGGTTGGGCAGTAGGATGGTTTGGGAGTATGAAGGCTTGACGTGCTTGCGCGAGCAGCGGTCGCCGTGCCGGCAGGCGCCGATCTTATAGTAGAAAGAACAGTTGACCTTGTCGGCTTCGGTGCCGAAGATGGACGCGAGGTAGTTGGCCATCTTAAGGGTTGTGTAATTTGAAGAGAGGGTGAGGTTGTGAGGCTAGAAATTGAAGGGTGGCGCTGGGGGCAGGATGATGCGCGCAAGGTCGCTGAGCTTTGAATTAAAGTTTGATAAGCCTATATATGTGATTGCGATTGTTAGAGTGTTTCGCAGCCAGAGGTGTCGATGTGGATTGTGTGATCGAGCTCTGTTCAAATGTTTGGAAAGGACTTGGGTGAGCAGTGATGAGGCTGAATTATATTCTTGGCGGCAACTGCTGACTAATTCACTCTTAGATAGAGAACTGTAGGGAAACTTTAAGAACAACAATTCACTTCCGCGTCAAAAAGAATACTCCCGTCACTAATTTAATATCCTAATAGACACACCTGCAAAGAACTTGAAATAGGTAGGTATGAAAAATCGAAAGCAATCTCAGTGATGGCGAGGCGTGCGACCATGCCTTGGCTGTAGCACCAATCGATATTAGTATAAGGAATACTTAAAGATACAAGAGTAGATTTAAATATTGGAAATCGGACATATACTGAGCTGAATACCAGCCATCAGGTTCAAGAGCCTCCAGGAGAGTTGATACCCTTTCAACCCATACCTGTTGCACGTGACACCCCTATATCATTCTCGCTTATGGAGAGGGCTGAGCCAACACATCCTGTCTCCACCAACCACCTAGTAACAGGGCTATTTCATGCGTTGAAATGATTGGGCCTTATAGGGCAGCTCTTCGGATCAGCAAAAAATGAACAATGCAGCGTCTCTCGTTGAGATGTTGCGGGAAAAGCAACCCTAACATTTCATCTATCCCATCCACGTCACTATAGTGTAAAACAATGAAAAACTACCAAAAATATTGGTCACTACGAGGGTCGAACTCGCGGCCTTGGCGTTATTAGCACCACGCTCTAACCAACTGAGCTAAGCGACCATGTTGGTTGATTTATATCTGAACTGTGTTAGAACTACTACATATGGAAGTAAACCACCACGTCCATGCTGCTGTATGGCATACCTTTCAAAGTCCCTTTATGATCCTTGTATTGGATTATACTGCGGGATAGTATTTAAATAGGTTTTGGTTGGCATAGGCATCAAGAGAAGCGGGCGGATGTGTTTAAGTCAATCTCTATGTCTCACGTAGTGCACACTCTCTTAATATTAACTCCTTTTAACTAAGCTAGTTGTTGGAAATTCTTGTTAATATGCTATTCTTGTAGAATATTTTTTTCGTATATCACTTTGCCGTTGTATTTGTGCACCCATTGAAAAATATGCTTTGAACATATACATACACTAGTAACTATCGTAAAGCTTAGCTCTATAAAAGGATACGAAGTATATTTCCAAATGACAGACTGGTGAAGTTTGAGAGTATTGTATTCGTTTTCCAAGTTCCTTGGTATGAGGATAGAACTTGGAATATGGGTTTGTGCCGCATGCCGGGCTGAATTGTGCGGGATCATATTAGCCAGACTAACTTTCGGCTAAGGACGATGGAAAGGGCCGTCAAAGGAAGAGACATCCTCGAGACTACGGTATGAAGCAAGGGAGAAAGTATATGATTATCCAGCTTGATGCACAGCATGTGATGGCCCATCGTCCAGAAAATAGTTGTCAACTCACCCTTCCCCAATATTCGGTGCAGTGCTAAACACACCCACAGAAATATGATCCATAGCCTCCCAACTTGGATTCCCTCTGCCTCATGCGCAGCAACAATATCGTTCCAAAAAGCTATCGCCCCAAGGTCCCGTTACAGTTCCAAGCTAGTAACAGAGATTATTGTTTACAGATGTATAAGTGGCTGACCACCGGGCTGCATATGTCTTGAAGCACCCGAACGCAATAACTGACTACCACATCACGTAGATCCAGCCATTTTATTTGCTACACTTAAAATGCATATAGTCCTCGATTTCAGAGGTCCACAAACAATGGTGGTGTTACTTTTGAGTTTGGGGACATGCCCAGATATTTAGTGAGGCGATGTAACACAACAAAGTGAATATTACCCCACTACCAATGTCACTTATTCCAGAGAAAGTATTCAAATCTGTGACAAGAGAACGGCCGACTTTCATAACTAATAATTTACGAATGAAGAGATGTTGGGTTTTTTATCATGATAACTCGGCTGTTGACGTCATCGACCATCTTGAGAAAATGTAGTACAAGTCAGAATCAAATAGGTGTCGATGCAGTGCCACCAAAATGTGAGCCAGACGGGGGTTGTCCTTAACCTCACATTTTGTTTCTATCTCCCACCATTATTCATGATGGAACTCAAATTTCTATGATGCCTTCGGAGACGCTATTCCTAGTGGACACAGCCACCGGGCCTGCGCCTCTGTATCGACAAGTTCGTGACGCGTATCGACAAGCTCTCTTCACGCGTATAGCAGAAGGCTCGCTCCGACCATTTGTTCTGCCGTACCATATTTGGGGATTCTTGATTGTTTTTGTTTATCTTTGCATACCACATACAAAAAATCCATGGGTATACGCAGCACGATGGCCAGGCAAGTCAGGTTGTGCAGAATATATTGTCCAGTGACTGACAAGATTTTCTAGTACTTGCAATTATCATAGCTTTCGAAATCAGCACAATTCGGACTACCAGCAGCTGGAATTCGGGCGCCGCATATGTTGCTGGGCTGGTTTCTGCATTTGGAGTGGTATATAGTACTGTTTGGCTTATACTCTATCGACCACAATGGGATGCAAGAAGAGTCGAAAGGAGAGATAAGAGACTGAACGGAGGTCATGATCCAGCAGAGAATGGTGTTCTGAGAGGATATGATGCTGCTTTGAGGGAATACAACAAAGAGGCGAATCTCGATCAAGAAAATGCGCAACTACGAAAACGGCTGTCAAACGGGCATGTTGCAAATGGCGCTGCTAAGGAAGTTTCGGAATTGCCTTCTACAGCAGAATTACAGGAAAACAATCGTCCCGCGGGAATGCTGTTGCCTGCTGAAGACGATGACTTTGAATATTATTGGCAACAATATCCTGACAATCTTGCCGACCGCATACCATGGGTGCTAGATCTGACTGTGAACTTTCGAGGGCCAGGCTGGAACTGGCAGATTCCTCCTGTGCCTGAGATGCCCCTATCAATAAAAGCCAAACTTCACGAGCCAGCTGAGAATGTTTCTTCATCGCAACTCTCCTCAGTTGGACTACGACAGTTCACAACTCGCCATAAACTTTATAATAGAGAAGTACCGCGCTTCATAATTGGCTATCTCTTCATTGATATCTTTAAAACAATTATGATGAAAGATCCCTATTTCATATTTGGGCCAAACTCCTACGCTCTACCAAGTCACCTCACAAATCTTTCAAGCCTGCAGGTCCGCCTCTACCGCTCAGCTCTTTCAATGTTTGCAATTATGACAGCCATCGAAATGGCCCTACTATTTTCCCCGCTCGGTCTCTGCCTTCTCCTTGGTCCTAGATATCTTGGTCTGCGCGGCGAACCTTGGTACTATCCGACAAACTGGGGTTCTTTCTCTAATATTACCAACAAAGGTCTCAATGGACTCTGGGGTTCTTGGTGGCACCAGATATTCCGCTTCATCTTCGCGGCTCCAACCAACTTTCTCATCTCAAATGGATATGTCAAGCCACGATCTTGGTACGCAAAACTCTTAGCATTATTTTTTGCATTTGGGATATCGGGATCCTTACACGGCAGCGGGTCAATCACCCAGTTCCCCAGGACGAAGCCTTTCCACCCACCCACCTTTTTTGCCCTTCAAGCCCTAGGAATCGTCCTGCAGACCACCTGCTGCAATATTCTTCATGGCCGACTTAAACGAGTCCCAACAGCCCTAAGGCAATTTGGAAATGTTGTCTTCACGTTTGGCTGGCTGTTTCTTACCGCCGACTGGATCATTGACGACTTCGCTCGTGGCGGTGTATGGCTTCTTGAGCCGATTCCATTCAGTCCGCTTCGAGGCATGGGATTTGGCATGCCAGGGGATGGATGGTGGTGCTGGGGTGATCTAGGGATATATTGGCATAGTGGAAAGCACTGGTGGGAGAGCGGAATCGCAATTTGAGGCTGTAGATGAGGGATAGAATAACGAATTTATGAGCTATGAGTAGAATGTGTCATAATATTATTACAGCTAGACTTAGTTATCGCCGGACTATAGCAATAGAACCAATACCCCATATCCTTCATCAGCCATCTCTTGGCCAGAAATTTATCTTGACTAGTGATATTCAACTTTATATGGTTCTTGACGAGATCATGGCTGCAGCAGCGTTTGCAAAGCCTACCGTGTGATATTGAATAGGACTTCAAATGTATCATTGGCCCGCATTTAGCAATCGAAGACATCTCCATCTCAGTTGTGTGAGCCGTTTGCAAGTTGTTCCTGTCTCCTGCCTAAACCAGCTTAGCGCATATGGGGCAGTTGCTTTGGCCGCACGTTGACGTTACGAAATGAACTGCGCAGCCGCCTGCTGGAGCCTCAGCGATCCACCACTGCAGAATAATCTTATGAGGAAACGTGTTCTGCCTTATAATTGCAGATTCTTCGTCCCCGTCTTCATAAGGTTCCTTATCGCGCGACCGACATTCTACGGTATTACTGCTCCAAGTACCACCTTTGCCATTGAAGACCGTTCGCGCTGCAGGCGCATCGAATGAATACAGTACAGCTTGAACACAGAGAAGTCTGGTATTGAACGCTACAATGGACCCATCCAAGGTTTCTATTTTCACGACATACGATAAACCTAAGGGACAAGGAGGATCAGGTTCTTTTGCGACCTTTCTGATTATTGGTCGTATGTCCCCAAAAGTCGATGCGATGCGATGCGATATCTCAGTGTACTAACTTTCAGTAGCAACTTGCTTCTTCCTTGGCATACTCTTCTCCTCGTTCCCATACGATTTTCCGCTTCTATGGACCTCCGACGTGACCCCTCCTGAGTACTACGATTTCCTTGAAACTCACCTAAAGTTCATGCACGCCTCTCCCCCGCTCATTCCCCGAATCCTGCATATCGCTATCTCAATCGGCTTCGTCGGCTTCTTTACCAAGCTCTTCAAACCGTCAGAGGCAAACCTACTCTTTGACGGCGCATCATTAGTTCTTTACGTCATTGCTGTCGTCGTTTATATTACCAATATCGTGAAGGGTTTGAGAATTGTCACCGAGAACGCGTATGATCTACTTCCTGAGGGATCTACAGAAACACCCATTGGGAGGGAGGACAGCTTACGGGTCCTTGCAGCAAGCAACACGATTTTGGCGCTAGTCTTGGTTGGAGTGCTTGTCTTACAAGCTGGCCAATGGTATGCTGAGAGGAAGGATTCTCAGGAAGAGTTGAAGATTGAGGAGGAGCAAGAGGAGAAGACGGCAGCTAAAGCCGCAAAAGGTGGCCATGCTACGAGATCGGCGTCAAAGAAGAAGCAGTAAATGGGTGTAGAGCATAGTACCATCCACAATATGTAATTAATATCCGGTTGTGGGCTCTGCATAAACCACCCACGAAGATACGCAATTTAAAATCGAGTTTATTACACCGCTAACTAATGGTTATAGGCTTTCCCGATATTTCTCTCTGTACTTATTACTCTCTCTGGGGTTAACTCAATAAAGACACCAAAACTGTCTGAAGCACACTATCACATGAATAAATTGCGATAACGAGACAAATCTCAGTTCAATCAAGTGGTCTTTCTGTTATTCGTATCCTTTCGCTATAGCGTCGTACAAGTTGTACAGACTCCATAGAGGATCTTCCGGATGGATGTCACATATCACAACATATTTGTGTTGCAATTATGGTGGTTCCGCTCATTAACGATGAGTTTCTTGTGTTGCTAGAAACGTATTGCTTTGGCATCTACAAAAGAATTATATACCAAGAAAGAGCTTTATTTGACATATTTGAATTGCCTTACCC